ATAGATAAAGTCCTTGAATGGCCTTCATTGATTCATATCAAATTATTTTAAACATATAAAGTAAGAGGCACTAAATGAATTAGATTAACAGTTGAAGTAGGCAGACATAGACAAGGTGTAACTGTGTTGTTAAATTCCAGTGCAATTACTCTTCCATGTACAGCAAGTATACAAAGTATTAAAAAGTAGGAAAAAGTATGAGAAAGTAGTAAAAAAGGACAACAACCCTTTGAATCTATTTCCCCTTTATCCTTCCCATTTGTTCTGTTAAATTATTTATTAAATTACTTATTATCAGGATAAAGCAGGGAAAATAACTTAATAAAACTATCATGTATCTGATGCTGAGCAGCGGTATTTTGAAATAATGCTGTAGTATCTGTTATGCACATGAAGGTATGCTCTATAGTAAGTGATGATATATCATAAAGTGATATCCAGCAGTCTCTGAAGTGTTCCCTTGCTGGTGGAGGAATAGCCCAACATACAAGGAGTGCCATGTCAAAGAGGGCTATGATAGAGAAATAATTAAAAAGGATGCAACAGGAAAATAACCAGGTTAATTTGTTACAGAGAAACACAAAGTGTCTTGTAATTTCAGGCACTAAGAACTGGCAAAGCCAAAAGAAAAGAGCCTGAGAATAGACCAGTACATTACAATAACAACACACACATGCCAAGCGCTTCACTGAGAAATGATTGACAATCTGCAACTTCACAAAAGTGGGAGAAACATACGCAAGATAAGAACCTTGGGAGATATATATATATATATATACATACATACATACATACATACATACATACATACACACACACACACACATACAGTATATAGGGTCTGAGTCCTAGAGCTTGCATGGGGGGGTGGTGGGGGTGGTTTTTCACTATGAAGGGCTTTTCTATTATTTTCATAAAAATACTCATCTTGCATGGTGTTGCACTTCCTTATTTGGGACTGGTGAGCAGTTTGTGGGTTCTCCTGGACTTGCAGCTCCTGCCTGAAGAGCAGGTGGCAGGATAGGCAGGAGGCCTTTGCACAGATTCATCTTGTATGTCAGTTGTGCCCATTTCTGGACTCTAGACAGCCACTCATGCTTTGGTCACCTCACATGTGGACTATTGCAATGCACTCTACATGGGACTGTCCTTAAAGACCACTTGGAAGCTGCAGCTGGTCCAGAATGCAGGGGTACAGGTACTTGTGGGTCTGCCAAAGTATGCTCATGTTACACCTCTAAGTTTGTGAGCTGCTCTGGTCACCAGTAGATTTCCGGGTGCAATTCAAGGTGTTGGTTATCACATATGCATCCCTTTATGGCATAGGGCCAGGCTGTCTGAAGAACTGTTTGTTTCCTGTCCACCCTGTACGATTGGACAGAGCTGGCATGCATTGGATTCCACTGATTAAACAATGTCATCCGAGGGGACCGGAAGCAGGCCTTCCGTCACCATGTCTGCCCTCCGGAACAGCTTCTCCCCAGAGATCATTGGGCCTGTATCTTGGCCTCATACAAACAAGCTCTTGAAACCTGTTTTCCCCCCCAAGCCTTGGGCTAGGGTGCATGGCAGGCTCCTTGGGGAAATGTTTTGTACAATAGAGGGTGTTGTTTTGCTCTTCCTTGACACTTTCCCCCCATTTTTCCCAATCTTTTCCTGTTCTGTTTTTATTATTGTACGCTGCCCAGAGTCGTTATAGAGTTGGGCGGCTGTACTAATCAATAAATATCTTACAGATCTGTGTCCTTGAATCTCTGGCTGCAAGCCTCTGGTTCAAGTATTGGTCTGGATGGAGCCTGACACTAAGGCTGAGTTCACACATCATGCTTAACCAGATCAGTTAGGGACATACCAGCCGCAATCACACAACATGCTCAATTGGGGTAATTTTAGCTTGGTTGTTGCTTACTGTGTTATGTGAACCCAATCCATTTGATTAGTTTACGATTCAATGTCTGTGCAAACTCAGAAATAAGTTAATTCCATAACCAGGTGAAGTATCAATAGAAGCGAATCTGTGTAGTTCAGGGTTGAACTGGGGAGTCCTTGGGGTTCTCTGAGCTTGGTTCTTTTCTTGCAAACGTT